TGCACTCCAGCCTGGACAACAGAGTGAGACTCCATCTCAAAAAACAAAACAAAACGAAACAAATTAACTGTTGATATTCCTTGTTGTCACTATGCCATGAAGGGTTTTTATGAATGAGAAGTATGAGAAAATTGATTGAGATGGCTTTCGGGGAGCACATAAGGCCCAGAAGCTTGGATACGACTTAGACTGCTGGGGGCTGAAGAAAGAGTGAGCATCAGGAAACGTTTCTGTTTCCTGAAGACTCACCCTTAGGAGGTAGTATTCACAATACGATAGGGCTGAATTCTAACTGCCCCATTCAGCAGAAGGTGTAGGGAGGAAAAGCTAGGGAAGAAGGCCACCTGGGCTGACGAGGTGAGAACAACTGTAGGAAATGAGGTTTTAAGGCAATGAATGGATAGAAACCCCTTTCATCCCAGTTAGCCTTTTCATATCCAGAGGTGACTGTCTCCCTTAAACTCCAAACTATCTTATTATTATTCTGGTTAGAAATCTCAAAAATATTCTGAGAAGTTAAAAAATAAGACTTTTTTTTTTTTCTTTTTTTGGGACAGAGTTTCGCTCTTGTTACCCAGGCTGGAGTGCAATGGCGCGATCTCAGCTCACCGCAACCTCCGCCTCCTGGGTTCAAGCAATTCTCCTGCCTCAGCCTCCTGAGTAACTGGGATTACAGGCACGCGCCACCATGCCCAGCTAATGTTTTGTATTTTTAGTAGAGACGGGGTTTCACCATGTTGACCAGGATGGTCTCGATCTCTTGACCTCGAGATCCGCCTGCCTCGGCCTCCCAAAGTGCTGGGATTACAGGCTTGAGCCACCGCGCCCGGCCAAGACTTTTCTTTTTTCAAACCTGGAAGAATCTCCAGCGATTTTCTAGTCAACCTCTACCCTTCATTTTCGAAAGGAATAAAAATCATAATAAAACAACTAAGGACCCCTGAGGTAGGTGCCTTGTTATTTGCTCACAAAGAGAGTACCAGAGAACTCTGGTACGTAAAACAGATTTCAGGTCCCCTGGACTGAGAACTGAGAGAGGACTCGATCCACTCAACACTGATGTCTGTATAATTAGCTTCTTTTTTTTTTTTTTTCCTTGAGATGGAGTTTCACTCTTGTCATCCAGGGTGGAGTGCAGTGGCATGATCTCAGCTGACTGCAACCTCTGCCACCTGGGTTCAAGCGAATCTCCTGCCTCAGCCCCCCGAGTAGCTGGGATTACAGGCATCTGCCACCATGCCCAGCTAATTTTTTTATTTTGTGTATATTTAGTAGAGACAGGGTTTCACCATGTTGGCAAAGCTGGTCTTGAACTCCTGACCTCAGGCGATCCGCCCGCCTTGGCCTCCCAGAGTGCTGGGATTACAGGCATGAGCCCCTGCTCCTGACTGTAATTGCTTCTTTAGCTTTGTGCATATTCATTCCCTTCTACTTTCATTTTCTCCAGTTAGAAACCATGCCAAGTCATGATATGCTAATACCCAACCTACTTATTCAGTACTTAACCAGTTTGCCTGTGAGTATCTGTTTCTTCCCAACAAGACCGCAATTTCCTTGAGGGCACAGTCAGCTTCTGTAGGTCCCTCATAAGCATGGCACAGAACAGTAGCCACGTCTAAATTCAGAAAGCATGTTGGGGAACTAGAGACTGGGCTGGCGGGGAGTGCAAAAATGAAGTGGCAAAGTAAGAAGAAAAAACATGAAACGTTCATGAGAATAAAAATTTAGGGACCAGCTATTTTGTTCATTGCTGTAGCCCTAGCACCAAGAGCAGTGTCTGGCATATATTAGAATTCACGTGTTTGTTGAAAAAATAAGTAGCTAAATTCACCTATGAAAATAGCATTGGATCTGTAAAAAGCTTTATAGAAAAATAATCTATAGAAACTAATTGAGCATAAAGGATTAAACTATAATACTAAAAGTACAAAAGAGAATGGGGAGTAGTTTCTAACAGTGTTATATAGGAAGTACTCAGTTAATTAGCTTAATTTAGCCATTCCACAATGTATACATATTTCAAAACAATATGTATATGAAATATATATATAATTTTTAAGTTTTTAAAATTAAATGTAAATTTTAAATATATGTAGAATAAGAATAAAGAATACCCAGTTGGGAAATTTCAGGTATGGTAGGCAGAATAATGGCTTCCCAAAGATGTCCATGTCCTAATCTCCAGAACCTATGAATATGTTGATTTTCAATAATGTTGAAATAACAAAGGGGAATTACGGTTAGAGATGAAACGAATTAACTGACCTTAAAATAGATTACTCTGGATTACTCAGTGAGTCCAGTACAATTACAAGAATCCTTACATGTGGGAAAGGCAAAAGTGTGAGTGTCAGCATGAGAAGACATAAAAAGCACTCGACCAGCCATTGCTGGCTTTGAAGATGGAGGAAGGGGCCATGAGCCAAGGATTGTAGCAGCCTCTAGAGACTGGAGGAGGCAAGGAAACTGATTCTCCCTTAGAGCCTCCAAAATGAACCATCCATCTGGAGACCTGCCCATCCAGTTTTACTTTTGCCCTCTGGAACTGTAAGACAAAATTTTATGTTGTTTTAAGCCACCACCTTTGTGGTAATTTGTTACAGTGGCAACAGGAAATGTATACATTCAGGTTAAGAGAAAACAGAACTGCGGATACGTAACTCCTGGCAGAACTTCACAGCACATGTTTGTTGGGACTGGTTGTAAGGGCTTGGGAAAGGTGGGAAATAGTTTCTGCCTGAGACAATTGAAATAGATGCAATGCTCAACTAACTTGTGCATAATTAAAGCCATTAGTTGTTAATAGGTTGAACTGTACGCTCCTTCAAAATTAATATGTTGACATTCTAACCCAGTAACTCATAATGTGACTTTATTTGGAGATGATAGTGCAGAGATAGTAAACTACTGTATGATCCAGCAATCCCATTATTGGGTATATATCCAAAGAAAATGAAATCAGTATGAGGTAATTAGGATGGATCCTAATCCAATAAGACTAGTGTCCTTATAAAAAGGGGAAATTCAGAGACAGATACCCACAGGAAGAACACTACGTAACACATGAAGACAGCCATCTACAAGCCAAAGAAAGATGCCTGGAATAGATGCTGCCCTCATGGCCCTTAGCAGGAATCAATGCTGCCAACAGCTTAGTTTTGGACAGCTGGCCTCCTGAACAGACAATCATTTCGTTGTTTAAGCCAGAGGTCACCAACAACCAGGGTGCCGACACTGGGGCACACAGCAGGAAGTGAGCAGCGGGTGAGCCAGCAAAGCTTTATCTGTATTTACAGCCACTCCCCATCACTGTCGTTGCCTCCTGAGCTCCTCCTCCTATCAGATAAGCCACGGCATTAGATTTTCTTTCTTTCTCTCTCTTCATTTCTCTTTCTGTTGTATTTTTGGTAGAGACGGGCTTTGCCAAGTTGCCTAGACTGGTCACAAACTCAGCTCGGGGCGATCCACCCACCACGTCCTCCCAAAGTGTTGGGATCACAGGCGTGAGCCACCTTGCCTGCAGGCATTAGATTCTCACAGGAGCGTGAACCCTATTGTGAACTTTGAATGTGAGGGATATAGGTTGGGAACTCCTTATGAGAATCTAATGCCTGATGATGTGAGACCAAGAGTTTCATCCTGAAATCATCTCCTCCCCCCGCCCCCAAGCTCATCTACATCCGTGAAAAAATTGTCTTCCACAAAATCAGTCCCTGTGCCTGGTGCCAAAAAGGTTGGGACCTCTGGTTGAAGCCAACCAGTTTGTGGTACTTCGTCACAGCAGCCCTAGCAAACTCACACAGTAAAGGAGGCACTGAAAGAAAAAGTATATGATTTTCATTGAAGCAAATACTTCATGATGTGTCACTGAAAGACCTAGCTGCCCCCTAGCTAGCAGTCAGTGGAGATTGTGGTGTACTGAGGGGGGATAACCAGGTGGACAGCACAGAGTTCTGTTCGCAGGTGTATTTCAGTTGAGCTGTGCTGCACATTACGGTAACTAACTCCTTTACTGACACAACTACTTCTCACTCAGTAGGAAGGAAGTGTGGTCGCATAGGTGTAAGAAACTCCAGTGTGGAGAGGGCTCATTACAGAAGGAAGCAACAATCCCAGAAATGAAAGAAAGCTAGGAGACAAAGGGGGGTGAGGGGTTGACAGAGAAAAATGAAAGAGGAAAAAAAAGACATTAAAAAGAAAACAGAGGCCAACATGGTGAAACCCATCTCTACTAAAACTACAAAAAAAAAAAAAAAAAAAAAAATTAGCTGGGCTTGGTGGCGGGTGCCTGTAGTCCCAGCTACTCGGGAGGCTGAGGCAGGAGAATCACTTGAACCTGGGAGGCGGAGGTTGCAGTGGGCCGAGATCGCGCCATTGCACTCCAGCCTGGGAGACAGAGCGAGACTCCTTTCCCACCCCCGGCCCAAAAGAAAGCAAACAGTGATTCAGTCAACAAGGGATAGCACAGCACACGGTACAGTTTTTAAGCATGGTTATTGACATCGCATTTAAATATCGCAACGACCCTGGAAAGTAATTACCGTATTTATGCTTCGCAGATGAGGGAGCCGAAGTTGAAAGCAGTGAGCCCACGGTCTGAACGGCTATGCAGTCCTCTGACCAGTAATTTTAGTAACCTCATTCTTTCTCTCTCCCCCTCTCCTGCTGGCCCCCTCTCCAGGAATGAACAGAGGTCCCCCATTCCTGGGCTTTCTCATGTTTCTCTCTGCACCAAATCTGCTGAGGCAGGTATAGTCCCTCACCATAGAAACACAGAAGCCAAATATGCTTGTTCCGAAGAAACACAGGTCAACTCGCCTGGCGATTTCTTGTTCACATAAATACAAATAGATCTTAACCGTTCCGCTCCCAGCCTCTCACCTTTTCCTCCTTCCCCAACTGCAAGGTCCGTGCGTCCCCAGCTGCCTCCCTGCCATTCCCCTCCCACCCTCTCCACTGCCCCCCCACGCCGCGCCCGGCCCCCGCGCCCCGTCCACTACCGTGTTCCTCCTCGGGTCACTCCGGCTTCAGATGGCACCGGCCCAGGCGGAGGGGAAATAGACTGGGTTGGGTAGGGCAAGGCGTGCCAGCCTCACGGAAACGCTCCCAGTCCCTCCTTCCCACTGCGGGGCGTGGCTGCCGGCAGAGGATGGAGTTCGGGCGGGCTCCAGCGAAGGGAAGCCTGCGGGCTCCGAGGTTTCCGGGACTCGCCACACGCCAGCCACGGGAAGCCTCTGCTGAAACTGTAAAGGCTGGGCTTGTTGCTGATCCGCACTCATTTCTTACTCCAGTGATCGCTAGATGGTCAGGTGTCACGGAGACTCCCGCCCAGGTGAAAACGGAGTCACGTCACAGGGCAACAGCGCCACCCCACGGCCGGCCCCATAGCAGCGGCCTCCATTGGCGCCTAAAACGGTCAGGATTCACATTCAGGTGGATTATTCCGCGCCAGGAGCATTCTCCACCTGAATGCTGCCGCGGTGATACAAGACAGTACTGAGGGGCCGGGCGTGGTGGCTCACGCCTGTAATCCCAGCATTTTGGAAGGCCGAGGTGAGTGGATCACCTGAGGTCAGCAGTTCGAGACCAGCCTGTCCAACATAGTCCTCTCTGTACTAAAAATACAAAAATTAGCCGGACGTGGTGATGGGCACCTGTAGTCCCAGATACTCAGGAGGCTGAAGCAGGAGAATCGTTTGAACTCGGGAGGCGGAGGTTGCAGTGAGCCGAAATTGCACCACTGCACTTCAGTCTGGGTGACAGAGCAAGACTCCGTATCAAAAAGAAAAAGAAAAAAAAAAAAAGATAGTATTGACCACTGCGGAGACGTGGGGGCACCTATAAGGAATTAATAGGAATTAAAAATCCCAAGATTATGGAATTGATCATTATTACATCCTAGGTTCTCCTATAGGGAAACAGTGAAGAAGGTAGTTATGTTACCTGCCCACATGGAAATTAAAATAATAGAAAAAAGACTTAAGAAAACAAATAGCTGAAGGAATTCCGAGTTAGATATTAACATCTAATACAAATTTTATTAAAGAAATATGGGTCATAGGTAACTTGAATATGTGACCAATTTGTTCAGTGTTGAACGCATACCAAACACAAACTCACATTCATCAGAGCATAAAGAACTTGAGTGCAATGTAATGTGAAATATTTAGAGATTAAGGCATGTCGATTCTCTAGAGCTTTCTCTATTGGCATTTTCATTTCCTTCAGAGCTTTTGAAAAACAGGATGAATTGTACTTAATGCCATTGAGTTGTACATTTTTAAATGGCTAATGGTTGATTTTATGTTATGTGAATTTTACCTCAAAAGAAGGAAGACATCTTATCAGTTAGTTGTTCTTTCCATTCTTTGTGTCACAAGTGATAAAGCCAAATAAACTGATTGGAACTTTATGTTTTGTAATTTTCTACCCTACCTTCCCAAGCATGCTCCTTGATGACAGATACAATGGTTTAACCATTTTTTAAATTTTTGGAGTATGTCACTAGGTACCCTTTCTGATGTACAGAATTTCGTTTAAAATCTAGTTACTATTGTAGTAATCGAAGTTATAACCTCTAGGATTTAAAATAAAACAAAATATAATACAGAAGGGGGAGCCAAAATTTAACTCTCCAGCTTGTTGAGTAAATCAAATAAATTATACATTAAAACATTTTTGAGATACAGAAAACACTGGAAATAATAATGCCCAGATACAGAAACGACTAAGTACTATATAGCCTGAGTTAAACAGCAAACATACACAAGGAGGTATATGTATAGCTGGCCCCACACACTATACTCATGAATAAGATGGTTCGAATATCCATTATTTCTCTTTTTTCTTCAAGTTTTCATTCCATTATAATTTCAATTATTAGCTCCATCTCAAATGTATGGACCTCCAACTCATTGTCAACAATACTTTGGCCCCAGCATTTCTACCAGATTATTTCTGCCTCATTATTAATTCCATAGGAATTTGTTGAATGCCCATTATCTCGCCGTCCAGATTAAGTATTGAACACTAGTAGGAAGTCACATTGAAACAGACCCTGGAGGTCTCTTCCTTCTCCAGTTTACTCTACATGAACGCTAACTACCAGACCCTCCTCTCCTCTAAACTGTTACAGCCATCCAGCCACGTGTTACTTAGGATATTCCCTCTTGTATAATTCTGCAATTGTAAGGAAGGAATTTATTGGTTTAGTGCGGTGGAATCTATTTACAGAAGGCATGGAGGAATCCCTGGAAAGTCATTCATTATAAGGAAAAAGAAAATCAAAGCACAAAGGTATTTTCGACTAACAAGAATAGCTTGAGGTTCAGCATTATGTCTGCATCTCAATGTCCTTTGGCCAAACCCTTATGAAATAACAGAATCCTAGTGAGGGGGGACTCTAAGTGCAACTGGTAACTTCACAGAAAAACACAACAACAACAAAACTGTGTAAGACCTTGTGTACATAAGGTAGCTTTGCTTTGGAACTGTTTTTAAGGGAATATAACACAAAAGCGGGGCAGGTGAATTTTTCCAACTTTATCTGGAAACGCAAAAGGGCAAGCAGTGGCTACCAGCGGCTCCACAGGGTCCTGAGGCTTACCTGAAAGGCTTGCAGTGGCACAGAGGATCAGAGCCACTTTGATGAAAGCTATAAACAGTTAGTGGTAGAATCACTGCAGCAATGCCTGGCATCTAAATGGAGCTTCCCAGGCATTTAGAGAACAGTAGACCTCACCAGAGGAAATCTAAGACAAGGAAAAGAGTGGATTCTATGTAGTAGCTTGGGTTTGGGATTGTGAACATTTATGAGGTCCTGTATTATCTTGAGGATCTTCAGGGACAGTTGGGGAAAGGATCTTTTAAGAAAAACCAGAGGTTCTGCAACCAACTAAAGGCAGCGATAAGAGTATGAGAAATTACTATTCATATGACCTCATGTTTACCCTAGAGAGTTGGTATATCCTAGAGAATTTTGATCATTGGTAAGCTTCCATGTATATGCTGTTTCTTTTTACATTATGTATTAGTTTTCTATGGCTAACATAACACATTACCACAAATTTCGTGGCCTAAACAATACAGATTTTTAAATTTTACAGTTCTGTAAGCCAGAAGTCAACAAAGTTCTTTGTGGGTTAAAATCAAGGTATTAGCAGGGCTGTATTCCTTTCTAGAGGTTCCTGGGAAGAATTTGTTTTCTAGCCTTTCCCAGCTTATAAAGGTCTCCCATATTCTTTGGTTGATAGCCTTCTTCCCCCACCCCCATCTTCACAGCCAACAGTGGCTGGTTGAGTCCTCTCACATCAGGTGTGTGTTTCTGTGACCATTCTGTCATTGCTGTGTGTTCTGCTCTCTCTCTGACCACAGATGGGAAAGCTTCTCCACCTTTAAGGACTCACGTGATGATTAGATTGGGCCCACACGATACTCTTCCTCTCTGAAGCTCCATAACCTCAGTCACATCACAATGTCACTTTTGCCATTAAAGGTAGAATAATTGTTACCGGTGGAGGGTATCCAGGTTCTTGGCATTTTGAACAAATAATTGGACAAAAGGCACAAACAAAGCAACGAAAGAAAAACACGGATTTATTAAAACGTACACTCCACAGACTGAGCAGTTTCTAGCAAGTGGCTTAAGAGCCTGGTTAAAGAATTTTCTGGGGTTTAAATACTCTCCAGAGGTTTCCTATTGGCTACTTAGTTTAAACCCTATGTAAATGAGGTAGTGACCCACAACGAGTCTGACTTGTTGTGGAAAATGACCAATCAGAGGCTGAAGTGAAGTTACAAAGTTACTCATGAAGACCTGGCCTGCAACCAGCCTGACTGGTTGCAGGAGGGGACCAAACCGAGGTTCTTTCGTTTTTCATCTGCAACACAGAAAAGGGTAAAGGGGGGAGTTGCAAAGGGAGTATCCTCTGATCCTTTTGTTACTTGGGTGTGGAGAGGTGGGGGTTTTCCTTTTGACCCAGTTCTAGCCAATCGGCCTTAGGTTCTTTACCTTCAGACCCTATTCTCCTGCCTCATAATCCCAGGTTCTGAGGATTAGGGTGTGGACATCCTTGGGGGCCATTATTCTGCCTACCACATTGCTTGGAAGAGCTTGCAGTATTAGATCCATGTCTTACACCTCCTTGTAGCCTCTGTTTCCTGTAAATACGAAAAGATCAATACATGCTGTTGACCATAAAAGAAGTATACCACGTGCCAATACTTTTAGTCTCATCAAGAACATTCATTCTCCCTGTAGATTAAAAAAAAATGTGATAATTAAGGATATTATGCCAACCACTTAGGTCCACTCATTATTTTCTTCTCATTTTCTTTCTTTCTCATGGAGTAATTCAGTTTAAAATGATTTTTAGAGATCACTGACCTACAGCTAAATTCTAGAACTAAAGCAGATTGACCTTTCTGGGTCCCAGTTTCTCACTTGTAAAATGAAAAGGGTAGGCTATATTAGCCTCAGCTTCTTGTCAGGGTTCATAGTCCACGCTCCTCTAATAATTGAATACAAACCCATCTCCCCCTAACTCCGGCCTGCTAGAGGTATTGCACACACTGTGGAACATCCCTGGCGGGTAGATGTCCAGTGTTGTCTACGCTTCTTCAGTGCTGAGGACTTGCCACCAGGCAGTTTATTCCATTCATAACATCTAATTATCAGAAATTTTTTTCTCATACTTAACCTCTCTAAACTCCAATTTGTTTATAGGTAAAATGAAATAAAAAAAGGTCTACCTCACAGAGTTGTTGAAAGTTCAAATAAAAAAAATACTTGAAACTACCTCTTGGGCCGGGCGCGGTGGCTCACGCCTGTACTCCCAATACTTTGGGAGGCCGAGGCAGGTGGATCGCGAAGTCAGGAGATCGAGACCATCCTGGCCAACATGGTGAAACCCCGTCTCTACTAAAAATACAAAAATTAGCCGGGTGTGGTGGCACATGCCTGTAGACCCAGCTACTCGGGAGGCTGAGGTGGAAGAATCACTTGAACCCGGGAGGCGGAGGTTGCAGTGAGCCGAGACTGTGCCACTGTGCTCCAGCCTGGCGACAGAGCAAGACCCCATATCAAAAAAAAAAAAAAAAGTACCTCTTGAAAATCAAAAGCACTACATAAGTGTTAATTGCCATGTTATTATTACCTAATATTACTAATAATAACTTAGGTCTCTATTAATCTATACTTGTGCAACCTATGGTGGATTGTACATTTATCTTTTAAACACTTTATCTTGTTCATCTCAGTCCCCTTCGAGTAAAACATTAAAAATAATTCTGAATCAAAATTCTGACGTTATCCCTTTGTGGCTATGCTACTGAGATATTTTCAACTATATACCTGATTTTTTTTTTTTTTTTTTTTTGAGACGGGTCTCGCTCTGTCGCCCAGGCTGGCTAGAGTGCAGTGGTGCAATCTCAGCTTACTGCAACGTCTGTCTCCTTGGTAAAGCAATTCTCCTGTCTCAGCCTCCCAAGTAGCTGG